CGCAGGGTCTGATTGATCCCATTCTGAACCCTACGCCCAGGTGAAACAAAAGCAGATATAGTTTTGAGCATTCCATTCCTAAGCCAAAAACAAATTAGGCAAATAAAAGGAAGGCCCAATACAGACTCAGACTTCGAGGCGAGTTTCTCTCGGATTTCAACTGAATTCAATGACTGCTCTAGAGCCACTTTAGCCCATTCTTTACGATTTTTTCAGTAAGCTATAGGCCGGAAAATCAATGGCAATAGCCTTCCCTCAATGCCAATTTCTGAACCTTTAGGCGAACCAGTGAGTCGAGAGAGACTATAGGCCAACCATACGAGTAGGAGAACCAGTGGAGAAAAGTTTAAAACATCGCTACTCTAAAGACTTCCAAGCCAGCTCCTAATCCTAAGCGCAGCGAACCTAAGAGATCCAATTTCGGCCGATAGGCGCCCACGCAGAGTTTCATTGCGAAATGAAATAAAATACGTATATAAGACAAGACTGACTGGATACTTTTAGTGTGGGGCGATAGCAAGACAGAGGTGATGGCTATTCACAAGATTAGCAATTGAAATAGGACTGGGGTCCACACTCAACCCTCTCACTCGGAACCGCTTAGCAAACTCGGCTGAGCCGGAATGAGATATCAGCTACTTTTTTGCTGAGATCGTGACTCCTAACTTTAGGAGTACCTGCTCGTACACTTGGGATACACACGTATCAGCGATGAGAACATCATCACCGAGTACTGCATATCTTGTGAAGCGAACTCCAGGGTGCTCTGCAAACCACCCAATCCGAAAATGATGTGTAGTGTACTTTTGTCCTATAGAAGTATATACATAGAGGTTTCTAAAAGAGAAGAAGTATGCTGTAATTACATCAATATAGAACTTGCATATGAAACTTCCGCTTCCGCTTCACTAAGCACAGTTAGCCCAGCTGCACCAAGCCCTGTCTTACCATCCAAGAGTTCCATTCTTCCAACTCTGAATTCATCAGCCCAGTCAGAAGCTATTTTCTTCGAAATGGTTCACTGCGAGTTCTTCGTTCAGCCTTTCGGCTATCTTCTCCTCCCAGTGTCCTAGATTCCCCATCGCTCTCTTCTTCCTAAAGCCAATTCTTCACTCAACGTACTTGAACCATGTCTCTTCACGTGAGTCGACACCTGCTTCCATTATTTTCTTTCTAACCAAAAGATCAGCGAACGCTACTGAATATGGCCAGCCAGATCGCTATGGCTAAGACAGTTGGCCTTTGATCGGATACCAGAACCAAATCGACTTAGCCACACTCTACTCACAGACAGGAAGGAAAGCACTGACTTGAACTACTTTACTTTGACCACTGCGCTTTCCCGGAAGCGAAAGGGAATGTCGAAAGCGTAGTGAAAGCACCTACCTTATGTTTAGGCGTGTTGGTTTCAGTGAAAAGAGAGTTTTGCGCGTTATAGTAAGGAAAAAGCTTGAAAAGCGTACTTGCTTTAACAACGGAAAGAGGTTCCTTCAGCGGTTCCGCTTTAGGTCTCGGTTCAGGTGCTGGCTCAAGTACTGGTGAAAGTGCCGGAACCTAAGCGTCTCGCTTGACTTGACTAAGGGTGTGAGTTCCTACTTTAGGCTTTCAATATTTAGCTTTAACAACTTTCACTAGCGCTTGGCTAGTTACCGAAACCCAACAAGATTCTCTGCACTTGTGCTTAAATCTTAAAAGCGGCTAGAAGTTCAAAGCTAAGAAGGCGAGTAGTTGATACGAGTTTACTAAGCGAGCCTAAATGCGAGTTTCACTGACTGAACCCACCACTACCCGAAAGCCGATACCGCTAGAGAAGAGCAAGAATCATACTTTTTCTACTTCGCTTGCCGAACAGGAATTCTTTGATTCAAGATCCCCTTGCGCCCAACAACCCTCAGCTCCTCAGTCTTATACAGGACCCCCACAGCGTATCTCACAGCAAAGCTATCCAATACTGCCACAACATGCTCCACAGCAGAGTTACCCGACAGTGCAGCAAAGACCTTACGCAAGTCCCTCTATTCAGATCACATCAGTACCACACACTTTTTTTAGGGGGGTACACAAGCCAATGCCTTTCCAACTACTAATCCACCCAGGAAGTTCAGTCCTCTGCCAATGTCATTATCACAATTGCTCCCACAGCTGTTAGCAGCTAAGATTGTTGTACTCATACCCGCCAGGCCATTATCAGATCCCCCTCCCTAGTAGGAGAAGACAATTCCCCGGTCAGAAGATTGTCTTGTAGTATTGTAGTAATGTAGTTCGCAAGATAGGGTGAAATAAAGTTCTTTCGCTAAGTATAGGGCGATGCCCACTACAGCTGGGAATCTTGTGTGGGCAAAGAGCTTGTTGGAGGAAATGGATTTGGAGCATCGAGAGCTCCGGTGAAACACGAGCGAGCCAAAGATCTAGAGGTCGCCAATATATCAAGGGAAAGGGCATTCTGTAAGAAAGAAAGTGGTGGCAAGCATCATAAGGACTCCAACCATCTCTAGTGAGAATCATATTTCCGACATCTTAACTAAGGGACTTAGCAGGGCCCTTCTTTGATGAGCAAGCTGGGAATGATCAATCTCCATTCGCTTGGAGGAGTGTTAGCGTATGTGTGTCACTTATGTCTCATGTACTTGTACTAATTGTACTTGAGTTGTACTCTTTGATTTGTTCATTAGTCACGTCCAGTCGTATTGGCAAAGCTGGGGTACGCATGTTGTACATAACCGCAGCCATCTTCTATCAATGCTGAAGTTGGAATTCATGAAAGGTATTCTCCCAATTCTCTATTGGAACAGATAGAGCCCTTTGGCAAGGTTGGGTATTAGGTATAGCCTATGAGGGGGCCTCCTTCCTAAAAAAAGCCTTTCCGATTGCCTCCGCCCCTATCTCTTAAAGCTACGGCATCCCACCGATCCTTGCATCGGCTCTGCTAGTTGGCTTTGCTATCAAGGCATAGCATTCTATGGACTCTTCCACCACGTCCAGAAATGGTATGCCAACACCTTTCTCCTTAGCCAACCAAAGTCTTCTGATGGCAATAACCGCCTTTGCCAAAAGGAAACCGGTGTTCTCCCTACGCAGGTAACACCCTACTCCTATTACCATGGTCTTCCGAGTAGGATATGTAATACGTCCATAGGGACGACGTCACACCAGACGTCCTGCTTTAACTTCCCCAGCTCCAACATAGCGGAAGGGGCACCTTATAACCCCTTACCCGGCCCGCTGCTCATGCCCTTTTTTTTCTGATTCGATAGGGCTCTGGATGAGGCCCTTACTTAAAAGTAAAAGGGCTGAAGCCCCAACTAATCCACCATCTCCGTGGACGCTATCTTATGAACTCCCAGCATCAATGATCATCTTTGCACTGGCCAATTCCGACATAGATTCGGAATACAGCCTTCCGTATCCTCCTCCTTTCTGCTGACGTTGGCTCACGTTGCCACACAATCTAAGGACAGCGAAACTGTCTCCTCTCCTAAGCTTCAGAACCTCCGCTATGTTTCCTACTTGAACAGAGATTAATCCGCTTCCCCGGCTCTAGGCTCCACAACGTTCACTATTCCATCTTCAGCTGGTCTATTCTTCACTCCCCCAGCAGCATTCGTCCGTCTGAACATTGGGACAGTAACGAGCAAAATGCCCAACTCCTCCACATTCAACACAGTTACCGGATCCCCTCTGCTGAGCCTTTTCTTATCTCCTCTGCAGCATACCTAACTCGAGATTCTTTTTTCATAGCATAGCTGGCATCTCACTAGGCTCCGAGGAACAGCCTTCCAGTTGAGAAGTAGGCGGTTGGGAAATAGTGATCTATGAGAGTCTTCCTGACGAGACCTTGAAAGCTGCTTATGCAAGATAGTGCATGCAGCTTTATACTCATCCGAAGCTCTTCATTCTTCATCATTCGTGCCTTGAAAATTGGAATTTCTTCGTCACGGCATAAGGTTTTGAAGCCTGGGGCCTCTAGGCAGGATATGGGGGAGGAGCAAGCAAGCTATTTAACTACTGGTCGGGTATAGCTTTCTGATAGTGTAGAGAAGAGAAAAGGAGAATGCTTCCCCAAAGCCACCCAATGTGAGCCCCGCTGCCGGATTAGCTTTCCTCTTAGTGAGGCGATCGCCCTTCTTCCTCAAGCCCACTACTTTAGTAATTCGGGAAGGATCCAAGGCCTTCTCAAGTCAGTCATTCGGGAACCTCTTTCGTCGCTATACTGGCGTCAATCTTTCCATAAAATGGTAGCCGCTAAGGCCACTCGGACTACCTTTCACCATAGGGGACAACAGGAGAGCTTCAAGCCCTCTCCTTAGCCGGCGCAGCGTTGAT